ACATGCGTATGGTGTAGTTTGGGATTGATTTTTGGTGTTATGGAAACCCATTTAGTGTAATTAGTGGCAGCATTGTGAGTGTGGATGAAAGATAAATTGCATGTTTTGTGATTTCATTGATTTGGAAATTAAATTAGGTTTTAGTTTTTTGTTGAAAGTGTATGGATTACGTACTGATGGATGATTTTGTTGCCTGTGCCTGTTAATTGAAGGAAATGAATGGAAAAGAAAACGGAAAGAAGCAGCTTTTCGAAGAAGCATTCTAATAAACTAGCTCTTTTTCCCTAATTGCTTTTCCAGAAGCAGTTGTTGTGGGCTTTTTTCTCTAATGCATTGCAATGCATTAACAAATGGAAACATAGAAGCACAAAAAGTTGAGGAGGTGCTTAAGAATTTGCCATGGCAAGAATTTACAAAAAGTTCACATCTTGTTCTCATGACGGCCATCGTAGGGCCTTAGCCTTAGCATGAAATTTATTGAGATCTAGAGAGAAATACATACATAGCTTACAAATACCCTATGTTCGGGTATTTGATATGGTATTAGTTTCTCAAGAAAATCAATGGTTTCACTTGCTTCCCAACATCTTCTTTGATTATGATTGAGGACTGTAGATGATTGTTATTAAAAAAATGGAAGTCAAGTACAGCTTTGAAGGTCTCGTTCTGGTAATGTCGATAAGATAGTCCCGGCTTTCTACAATACCTGACTTTAGGGGCATTTGTTAGCAAACACTTTTTATTGAAACAAAAAGAGTGACAGAAAAACTTGATAAAGGTCCACAGTAAAGAAACATAAAGCACCCTCTGCATGTCTGTCTGTACATGATTGCGTTAATGCTCACCATATCAGCATTTTTTTAGTTTGATAGCTCCTTGTTACTTTATGTTGATTTTTAGGTTTCTACTTTCGAAATATTACTCTCATTTATTTGTAATTTATTTTGAAAGAATTAATTGAATTATTATAATTTGTTGAGATACATTCTTGTGAGAGGTTTTACATGACTTACATAATGTTTAAATTGTGGAATGCAGTGGGTTTTGTCATCTAAGGAAATAAACTTCCCTTATCCTCTTGGTTTAACTCTGCTTCACATGGTCTTCTCCTCTGTCTTATGCTTTTTACTCACGAAAGTTTTTAAGGTATGCTGGTAACTAAATTTTGTGATAATCGTTAAATTCGAATTTTCCAGTGTTACTCAAATTTATCTTTTTTATTCTGGTATTTTACAGATTTTGAAGGTTGAGGAAGGAATGACTGTAGAAATGTAAGTAAAGCAGGGAATACACTTACTTTTACATTTTTTCCCCTCAAAGATGGTTTCTGTCGAATATTACTCATCTTTGTGGAATTAAAGATAAATTTAGTAGTCTCTTTTGTGGCGACCAAATAATTAGGGATTTATGTTCGTATCAAAGCTTGATGGTGCCGATGAGCTATTTTCATTGTTTCAGAAGTATAAGGATAATGATAATGACTTTTGGCTCTTAATTAAACTGATTCCAGCTATCTTTATGAAAGTATAACACACTAAGCTGTTGGTGTTCTTAGAATCAACAAGTTGGATTGTAATTTTTGGCTTGCTAGTTGCTACCCATATACAATTCCCTCCAGGGTTGAAGCATGTGGAATTGAAGTGATCCTATTGCTGACTTGAATTACTTGAATTTTTTTCCTAAAATGGGAAAGAAAAATACTTGAGCATTTTTTTCTAGCCGGTCCTTAATACTAAGATCATTTATCCTCTGACTAGTCAATCATTTATATCATCTCATGTTCGTCTACTTTTTTACTGATCTTCCATTCAGAATCTAATGAAGTTTTAGTTATACAGATATGTGACATCGGTAATGCCAATTGGTGCAATGTTTGCAATGACTCTTTGGCTGGGAAATACTGCCTACATGTATATTTCTGTTTCATTTGCACAAATGTTGAAAGCAATCAGTAAGTTTTCACTACTTTTTTGTTTTTTAATCTTCTGTAAAGCCTCGGGGCATCCGGAGCAATGTCTTTTGTTTTATATGATGGTTGGCCCTATGGCTGTCTGTTTATTCAGCAGTCGGAAAGTAGATTTATTCAACAACTCTGGCGATTTATTTATACATTTATCATGATTAGGAATTCTCTATCCGAGTCTGATTTCTTAAACAACATATGCATGCAGTGCCAGTAGCTGTTTTCATTCTTGGAGTAGCAGCAGGACTTGAGGTGATGAGCGGCAGAATGCTATTGATCATGTCAGTGATAAGTTTTGGTGTTCTTGTGGCTTCTTACGGTGAAATAAATATCAGCTGGATTGGAGTAGTTTATCAGATGGGAGGAGTTGTTGGAGAAGCTTTAAGACTTATTTTTATGGAGATTTTTGTTAAAAGGAAGGGTCTCAAATTAAATCCAATATCTCTCATGTACTATGTTAGCCCTTGCAGGTATGCATTTCTACTTGTAAAATTCCTCAAGCTTTGCCTTTCTACTTTATAAAATATTTTACACCAGTGTGATTTGAGTATTGAATTTGTATGCAGTGCTCTTTGCCTCTTCGTTCCATGGATCTTTTTGGAGAAATCAAAGATGGAAGAAAATAGCTCATGGAACTTTCCACTGCTTGTGCTAACACTTAACTCTCTGTGTACTTTTGCCCTCAACTTATCAGTTTTCCTAGTGATCACTCATACAAGTGCCTTGACCATTCGTGTTGCGGGAGTTGTCAAGGATTGGGTGGTTGTCTTATTGTCTGCCATTATTTTTGCTGATACAAAGCTCACTCCTATAAATCTGGCCGGTTATGCCATTGGTAAGTATCTGACCTTGTGTACATGTCTTAGCACATTGTCTCTTTTAAAGACCTCTTGTTTGTTTTCTAGAATCATTGTTTGTCGGTGATGTATTTTGAGTTCTACATATTTCTGATATTAATGTATACCGCCAGGTTATACGTAGTTTGTGATGTTATAATAACCCAGGGGTCTTTGAGTTGATTGATACTAGGTTCTGATTAGTGGTATACAATTTTGAGTTTGAAGTGGCTTAGTTTTTAGGTGTTCATTGATATCTGATGGGGGATGTTTTAGACAACACAGTATCATATCTTTCCTCTTTTGAAGTGCAACTCGGAAATACCATGTTACAAATGAAGAGTAATGTCGACATGTTTGAATGCATAGTTTTGATTGACAAACAACATAACATATCAAACTTTCTAGTAAGCGAACATTACCTACAAACCAATACACACAATAATGGTACATTAATTTTGTTTTGCAGCCATAGCAGGTGTGGCCGCATATAATAATCATAAGTTAAAAAAGGAAGTCTCTAAAGGCAACTCTGACGAACCTGAAAGTTCTCAACCTATACTAACGGCTGCATCATCAAATTCTGACAAGTAAAGATGTCACAGGAGCATTCACTGTAGTTATTTTTGAGGTATGTACTTGTACATTTAGCAAAATGTTTGCTCCCGAAATCCATCATTTCCTAAAATCTTTTTGGGTTGCTACATTGCAACTGCCCAGAAATTGATGGATTGTGTAATACAGTATTGGCCCTTGAGATTACGGTTTGTTGAAGCCTTGGTGGTTAAGCTCTTCCATCTTTATATCATTGTTGCAGCCGCTCCTGTGGCGGGTAAATATTGTGACGGTTTGAAGCAGAACTGCAATTCAAGGTCTAAAGATGGGAAATTCACACAATTGTATCAGCATCACAGAGGTAGACATTTACTGATGGCATTTTAAAAGTTGATGTACTTGTGCTAATCATAGATGACTTATCTGTAAAGCAAGTGCCAGAGTCACTGTCATAGGAACATACTCGGTTTATAACTTTCTTGATGACCTTTATAGCTCACATTCGTATCGCTGCATGGGCACATACGATACTGACTCTGTCCAAGATTAATAGTTTGAACCTCTACCGTTTTACATGATTAATTACATTCTCAGAACTTTGTATTTAGAAGGTGAGGTAGCCAGATTTCCTAGGCCATGTTATGTCTAGAATTTTTATTTAGACACCGAACCGGAAGCTGTGGTTGGTGATGCTTAGGTTCTACTTTGCTCGGAAATTAACAAAGAAGTAGGTTCTATGGCGTCGGAAGTGACTGTCGGATGTGTAGCAACCATTCCTCCTCCCTCGTAAATGGAGAAATTCTTCCGATGGGGATGGGGACGGAAAAATCTCTCCTGTGAAGGCAGCAGCCGAATTGTTGACCACATGACCCTATGTGGGAACCGAACTTCCAACATCAAACAACAAATTTGATCGCTATGCAGATTAAACTCATTCAGGAATATTGATTTTTTTAACAACAGACTCTGTGGGTTGTGCTTGTTTTCTCATCATAACACAAGTCGTGCACAAATTGTGGAATGGCTGCATGATCATTTCTGTACTGTTGGGCTTTTGTGAACATGGATGGGTCTAAAACTGCCTAATGTTCAAACCGGCCGAATCAAACCAATTAGAATGCGATAGAAAACATCTGAGATCGTATCAAACTGGCATAAAAAACACGGTAATAGGATGCTGGTATGTGATATTACTAATAAACGTATTATATGATAAATTGGTTATTATAATATGGCTGTTTACCAATAATACACAATAATTTATCGTTTGCATTTGGCAAGTATTGTCTCTAAATTAGATTTTCATGAAATGATGTTGTTGAAGGATTAGTCTTAATGTAAGTCAGACTCAAAAAACAACTAACATATACGGGTTAAGGCCAGGTGACTGTGACAACGTGTTCAATACTTTTATAGGCAAAGTCTAATACTCTTCTTAGAAAGGAAGCCTTACCAATCTTGAATCTTTCGTCTGTAAATTCAAGCAGTTAAGAATTTTACTTGGTAAAAAAACAAAGAAAAAAAGTTGGATGATATTTGATGGGCCTTAATACAAAGAAAAGCCTAATTAACCAACCGAAGAAGGCCCATAGCCTGCCTTTTACGACATCCAACTGTACAGATCATAAATTGGGAAGACCCCCCAAAAAAAAAAACAAAAAAAAAAGGAAGAGGGAAAGACAGAGATGAACCCTCGAAAATCAGACAAGTTGGGGGGATTTTTGGGGTTTGGTAGGTAAAGAGGTTGGAGGGCTTTTCCTGCTTCGTCTCCTTCTCCTTCTTCTTCACACCTCTCTCTCTCTCTCTCTCTCTCTTACCTTATTCAATCCTAAAAGAAAAACAATTTAATATTTAATTCTGTTTTTCTGTTGGTATTTTCGTTTTTCTTTAATTCGATTTTTTTCCGCCGGAAGAAACAGCTGGTAGAGGACCAGAGAGGAGATTGGAGTGGGGAAGAGATATGCCGTTGGGGTGGTGGTGGTGCATCATCATCGGAACGGTGTCGTCTTGCGATGGTCGTCTTCGTCGTTGATGGGCCTGCAATTCCAATTGCAGATGAGTTGGCAGCCGAGTCTACTGAGTCAGAAGCGCAAGAATGGCCTGCCGCCTCTAGGGTTACGCAACCTCGGCAACTCTTGCTACCTCAACAGCGTCCTCCAGTGCCTCACCTACACCCCTCCTCTCGCCAATTTCTGCCTCCGCAAACTCCACACCTCTCTCTGTAAGTTCAATTTCTCTCTCTCCTCTCCCTATGATTTTGTTTGAATTTGAATTCGAATTCAATCGAAACTACGTCCAATTCAATGTGCAGGTGACTCTTCGGATGCGGAGCGGAAGCGCGACTGTCCCTTTTGCATTCTGGAGAAGCGGATAGTGCGCTCGCTGAGTCTGGATCTCAGTCTGGATGCGCCGCAGAAGATACAGAGCTGTCTTGGGATTTTTGCCGAACACTTTCGGGGCGGTCGACAGGAGGACGCTCATGAGTTCCTGCGCTACGTCATTGATGCTTGCCACAACACCTGCCTTCGGCTCATGAAGCTGCGGCGCAATGCCACTGCCAGCGGAAAGGCTGCCAACGGCAATGTCGCCAACCGCATAGGCAATGGAGAGGCGGCAACATCGACGGTGGTGAAGGAGATATTTGGTGGAGCATTGCAGAGCCAGGTGAAATGTCTATCCTGTGGCACAGAATCCAATAAGGTTGATGAGATAATGGATATTAGTCTTGATGTTTTGCATAGTAATTCGCTTAAAGACGCATTGCAAAGGTTCTTTCAGCCTGAGATTTTGGATGGCCAGAACAAGTACAAATGCGAAAGGTATTATCTTTCTCTCTCTCTCGCTGTTTTTTTTTTTTTTTTGCTTCGGATTTTGATTGTGCTATTTATCCTTTCTTAGTTGTAACAAATTGGTCGCAGCACGGAAGCAAATGTCTTTTCTTCAAGCACCCAATGTTCTCGTTATCCAACTTAAGGTGAGTTTATATTACTTCCTAATATCTTTTCGCTATTAGGTGCTTAAGTTGCTCCATCCTGCCATTTGTATTTTTGTTCATTAATTTGTCTTGACAATGTTATTATTGTTGTCTGTTGATAGAGATTTGAGGGTATACTTGGCGGGAAGATTGATAAATCCATTTCGTTTGAGGAGGTTTTGGTGCTTTCGGGCTTCATGTGCAAAACAAGCAAGGTACGGTTAAGACTTTAACGTGTCAGTTTAATGAAGTCATTGCATTGGATAGTGTATAGTTGCTTAATTGGAAACTGAGCTTAGATAGATTAGATATTGCGTTAACAATGAACTTATCGAGCATAGCAACAATTACCTTGTTTTTTTAGGACATAGAGTCCAAAACTCTCTAGCCTCCATGTTACGCTGAACCCTTGACCAAATAACTATCAAGCTTTCTAGATCTTTGCAAAGCATATGGTATATACCTAAAAATAATATGGATGTGTGATATGCAGTACTGACAGTAGTCAACCTATGAAAAACACCTATCTAGTTCTTTTCAGATTGTCCCCACCTAATTGAATTAGCAAAGGTTTTTCAGGACTGGTACAGTAATTTGTTCCAACAAGTTGATGCTTGTGCTTTCTTAAGCTTTTTTTTTCCGGGTTGAATAGCTGCTTGTGCTTTATAAGTTTTGTTTGAATACAGTGGGCACTAGAAGCTTGTTAAAATCTACGTGATTCAGTTTGGAATGGTACGGTGTCATATCAGCACTTTTCTTTCTTAGAGGAAAAAAAAGAGGTTAGTTAAGCATGCCCTAAAGTTCTCAAAGAACCTAAGATCCAAAAGCTAATGCCATTGCAATCAATATTTCCAGAGTCTCTTATTAAGAAATTACTCAAGACTTTGATAAAATTTTAATATTCTTAAGAAGAGTTAAGCCAACTGGCAGTTAATCATGAACTTTGATTTTCTTGAATTTCTAAATCAACCAATATAAATGAGGGATATAAAGTAAAAAAGGTACACAATAGTTGTTTAAAATATTTGCTACAATAGCATGTACATTGTATTGTTTTAAGTGATCGCAACACAGTATGGATGGTACTGCAGTTTTAAGTATTTCTTTTTCTTTTTCAATCTGTGCATCGAGCGTCAGTGTGGGAGTTAACATGGTTGGAGAAGGAAACTCCAATTGATATCTTGGTTGATTAAGTGTAGGACTACGTTTTAACAAAGAAAAATGTAGAGCTGGAAATGGGAAATGGGAACTAGATAGGACTGTAGAAGGGTTTAAAAATTTAGACCAGAGATGTCCATCTATTCTCCAGATAGTAGGACTAAGGCTTTACTGATTTGAGTTGTACATTCAACTTGTCAACTGTTCTATTGGTATGTTGTATAATTTCATTTAACACTATGAACACCGTAACCTATTGCAGTCTGAAGAGGAGATAGCCATAATTAACAATGCACACAAGTGTGATTTCTCGGGAAACCTTTTGTTGGTGGTCCCATTATTCGTGATTGATCTATGACTTGGGGTTTATCATCTTTTCCAGCTAATTAAATACCTTTCTGCCTTCAGGGGGAAGTAGAAAGGAAAACAAAAAGCCATTTGACTGCAACTTAAATATGAGAAGAAAAGTATAAGGCAGAGTTTATTTATAATGACAATAAAGACATCCTTGATAAGTTGTGTTAAGTTCGCCTTATTCAGTTTTGTGTGCTTTATTGTAGTTAACAAGGCTGTAACAGTTGCGTCATTGGATACTAAGTATTGTTTGTTGCATTTTTGTTTGAATTGGTCGTTCTGATTTATTTTTTGTTTGGGAAGTTATAATGTACATGCATTGTGGTCTCTGATTCTTTGTTGCATATCTCCTTGTATTTTAAAATGAGGCAGTTCATGTCTTTGGTTATCTGAAAAATGCTTTTGATTTCAAGATGCTATCCTTTAACTTAGAAATATTACTTGATCCTGATGCAGGCATTTTATTTGACTTCTGTATCACGAGACTGTTGTTTGTTTCTAGATATTGCAGACAGTTGCTTCCCTATTAGTAATGATGCTGACTTTTTAATTGCTATGCAGGATCCGCGGCCAGAGTATAAGCTTTTTGGTACTATTGTGCATTCAGGCTTCTCACCAGAATCTGGTCATTATTATGCATATATTAAGGTCTCTGTTCACTTATCACCTTCGTTGTAATCAGTAAATTTAAAGCACACCTTATTATCAAGTTATCAACAAAATATTCATTTTGTTTTATTTAACTTTTTCATGATCTATGTACAGGATGCCATAGGTCGGTGGTATTGCTGCAACGATTCATTTGTCTCAATTTCAACCTTGCAAAAGGTCTTATCTGAAAAGGCTTACATCCTTTTCTTCTCTCGTACCAACCAAAGACCAGCATTGGCTAGCATTGCTTCCAATGGGGTGAGCTCTCATGTTTGTAATGGTCGTGAAACGTCTAAAATCCCGAAGTCCGCTCTTCCACCAAAAGGAATGCAAACGAAACCTTATGAGCAGTCTTCTTGGAAGGATGTCTCAGCCGTATCTAAAGTTGATAAAGTGCCTTATTGCCCACGGATGAAGTTTGATCTCAGTGGAAACTCTAGCTCCAAAAGAGCTCCCACAACTGATAATGGAAAAACTGTTTACAAGAATCAATCCTTAGGATCAAACGGGGAAAGATCTACTTCAACTGCTAATGGCAAAACTGTTTGCAAGAATCAATCATTAGGATCAAACGGGGAAAGTTCTACTTCGACTGCTAATGGCAAAAGTGTTAACAAGAGTCAATTCTTAGGTTCAAATGAGGAAAGAGTTCCGGCAACTGATAATGGAAAAATTGCTTACAGAAATGAATCCTTTGGATCAAATGGGGAAGGAGCTCCTGCAAATGATAATGGAAAAATTGCTGACAAGAATCAATCCCTACGATCAAATGGTGAAAGGGCACCTGGAACTGATAATGGAAAAATTATTTACAAGAATCAATCCATAGGATTAAATGTGGATTCAAAGGATCCTGTTATAGTTGACGGTAAAAGTAGCAAAGCATCTTTGTTATCACGGGAAAATGGTGGTGCTGGTTCCATAAAAACTGAACCCTGTGAAGGTATTGATACAAGAGACAGGTTGGCAGCTGGGAAAGTGCCTAACAGTAGCCAAGCATCTTTGTTATCCCGAGAAAATGGTGGAACTGGTTCAGTAAAAACTGAACCCTGTGAAGGTATAGGTACAAGAGACAGGTTGACAGCTAGTATAGTGCCTGATCCGAGTGAATTGGAAAAAAGTGGTCTTCATGGCCGCTCTAAGGTCTCTAGGTCGAAAAGAAAATCTCTGGATTCGTGCATTCTGTTTGCACCTGATGCTCAATCCCGGGCAGAGGTTGAAGGACTAAAGGAAATGTAAGTGACACTCTACCATTTTCTTTGAAATAATGTCAGTATGTAAAAACTTATCTTGATTAGGAGCTGTTTTTGAAATGTAGCTTTAGATGTTATGAATTGCATAATCTTTTGAATTTATCTTTACATTATCTTCCATGTCATACATCTGTCTACCATATCCCCATCAGTTCTCCCACGGCCTTGCCAAAAGAAAGTATATTCCTCAAGTGATAAATTTTATGTTTGTTGTTCCACGGATTCATAGTGCATTACTGTCTGTTCTTTAAGTTAACCTATACCATATAGTTGGATTCTTCTGATGACTATGACATACTTTGAATGATTGTGTCTCTCTGCTGCTTTGATTTTGCTTGTACTTGTTATCAAGATTCCTTTTACATGTACCTTTAATTTGTTCGTCTCATATCATTTTCCCTCTTCCTCTGTAACATCAGGGCTTGCCTTTGTATTGTGTTGCAGATTTCATAATCTGGTGTTCAGGGTCATAGGTTCTCTTCAATGATGCATGCAGTTTAGTACTATTTCTGTGTTTTCATGTTTGCATGTTTTGGTTGCCTGTAGCTTGAGTTCCCTTTTTAGTGAATGCCTGTAGCACGAGTTTGTTGCATAAAAAATAGTTTCATAACTGGCTTAATTTCATTCTGTATGTTGCTCCAATTATTATTTTAGTTATTTTTCCTTTGGCTTAATACCTTTTCTTTAAATGTTTGTTAGTCTCGAGAAAGAGGCTTCTTCTGTTTTGCGATCATGTGGCTGGTTGGATGAAGTTTACAGTTTTATGCGTTCAAGGAAAAGATTATGTTCAGAGCAAGTTGAAACCACTCCAAACTACGATGAAGTGAAGTAAGTATTAATGTTTGTATGTAGGAAATGATTCCTAATGAGAGATTTTTCCTAAATTTCTGCAGTTTAAGCTGTCATGGTGCTGATTTTCAAATTTTGTTGAAAATTTACTTCCAACTCTTTAAGTGCATTCATTTATTGCTCATTTAGTCTATATGCATCTTTATAAGTTTTGCCTCATTATAATAGAAAAACGTTGCGAATCATGGACTCACTCTCAGTTTTATCAGGCCAAATTATTGGTTGAAGGAAGAATGCTTGTAGAGAACGTTTCTTTTCTCCAATTTGAACAGTCTCCCTCTCCTACAGCTGGTCACCTCTGTATACCCATCACATATAGATTATTGGAACTCTAGAGACAATACATTAAATAAGCATGCATGAACCAATCAAACATCAAACTGAGGAAACATTATTGTTATATTCACGTGTCTAAGAGGCCTTTGGCATATCTTTATACAACTCGACATATCTAGGTTAAGTTTAACAAGGATTCACTGCATGAATTTTGTCCAACATATTTTGGGTAACATTGCTGTTTAAACTTCTGGTGATGAGTTGTATTTAGTCTACCTTGTTACTAACTGAAATTAGTACCGTTATAATAGTTCTGTAGTTGATTTTTACATATATTTTCCACTACTTTGCTTGTATTAATTGGCCAAGCGGCTATTTGGGTTTTTACTTTGCATTAATATGAAACATTGATCCATCTGTGTCTACTTATGCAATGCAGGAAGATGTTGATCATGGATGCCAAATCAAGTTTTCTTTCACAGATACCCTCGTCTTTAAGAGGGGACTTAGTCAAGCGCATTCAATCATTTAGCAAAAAATAGCGACACTAATTTGGTCCTTCATTAACTCACAAGATGGTATGTTAAAGTAACCTTTTCTTATACTGATTGAAGATGTGTGAATGAGAAATAGGCTGGTGGCATGACAGCGTCTTATTGTTAACTCTTTAAGTGGCAGGACTCGGGTGCGTGATCGTATGTATACTATTGTCAGTGTAGTGATGAAGATTTCTCCCGAGCAAGTAGAGGATTGGCGATGTAAACCGAAGTCCAATTCAGCGAGTGCCAGTGTTAGCAGTTACGGTTTGCCAATGGCGATATAGTTTTGTACCGTTGAAGATGTCAAGTTGAGATGAAAATGCCGATTCAAATCTTACTGAAAATTTTCTTCTTTTGAGGTTGTGTAATTGGTTCTGGGCTGAGAACAAGTCGATAATTCTATTCATTATGTTCGATATCCTTTTGGCAGTGTAATTTCATGGATCATCACAAATTTTCTTGTTAGACAAATGTGGACAATTGAGTTCGACCTTCTAAATGGTAATCCTTTTTTTTTTCGTAGTTATCTCCACTTCCCTAAGGAAAAAGAGTGGAATTCATGGTGTCATTTTTTTTTATAGACAAACATATTTACGTTACAAGGTGGGGAACAAATTCAACTCTGAATTTTCCATTCAAGAAATTCGAACCTTAGGCATTACGTTTTATTAAAAGAGCAATACCACAACTGTGTAGTACTAAGCATGTTGTATTCCTTCTGCTTCACTAAGAGAGAGGAGTTACTTCGCGAGGGCCTAACTTGAAACGGGGAAAGTCCAGGGAAGTACCTATACGAGTAACGAAACAACTATTCACTTGATTTAAATCCTAAGTTTTTCAGGTTTGGATTACAGATTGTACTATGAAACACAAATACCTTTTTTTTTTTTTTTAATTCCATTTGTCATACAAACACAAACAACAAGAATTAGAATAATTTCGATATCTATGTAAGTAAACATGTCAAGCTTTAAAAAGGGGTAAAACAGTCAAATGCGTCACTTGCCTCTCGGAAATACTAGCAATGTGGGTTCTTACTCAAGCCGGTGACAGGAGACTCGAGAAGCGCCTACACAAACCAACCTTATTAGAAAATTTACATACATTAGCCAACTTTTTCTACCATTACATAGAAACTCTCATTTCCCTTTGCCTTTGTAGCATACAAATAAGCAGTCAAAGAAAACTAACCAAAAAGCAAGCAGCAGGCACACAAGCTAGTAATGGCAGATCAAGTGGTTCTGTTGGATTTCTGGCCAAGCCCTTTTGGAATGAGGGTGAGGATTGCCCTGGCGGAGAAGGGTGTCGTGTACGAGTCCCCGGGAAGAAGACTTGAGCAACAAGAGGCCTCTGCTGCTCAAGACGAACCATGTTCACTAGCAAATCCCAGTCTTGATCCACAAGGGAAGACCACTCATCATTGTTCAATACATTGATGAGGTTTGGAGTCATCAAGCTCCATCCTTACCATAGAGCCCTTGCAAGGGTTTTGGCTGACTATGTTGACAAGAAGGTCACTTATTTTGTAATGTGTAAAACTACGATTTTTAATTAATTATTTACCTTTTTCACAAAAAAATAAAAAAAAACACTTGGATGATATCTTTATGAGATATAAAGTCATTCATCTTTATTTGCAATTCACAGTTTGAATGGGTTCATCAAACTTCTCTCTTTTGTAATTTCAACTAGTTATATACAATTTATGTCAAACAGTGACTTGTACGTAATGTAAGAAGTCAGTCTTTTTCATAAAACATAGAAATTGTGACAATACTTAATTTCTAACTGGTTTTTTTTTTCTTGGTTGCTGTAGATTTATTCAACAGGGAGGATGGTGTGGGGAACCAAATGTGAAGTCCAAGATGCAGCAAAGAAGGAACTGAGTAATTCAAGCTGCAGCTGGAACACGAGCTAGGAGACAAGACCTACTTTGGGGGTGAGAGTTTTGGCATAGTCGAAGTGGCACTTATCCCTTTCTATAGTTGGTTCTATGCACTGGAGGTCTGTGGAAACCTGTGCATGGTGAAGGAGTGCCCAAGGGTGGTGGGTTGGGCAAAGAGATGCATGCAGAGGGAAGCTAGTGGGTTGTCCGAGGCAGTGTGCTTTCGTTCTTTTATTGGTTTGCATCCATATAATGATTTTGTTTCAACTATGATATGAATAAAACTATATATAGTTGGATATATATATTTTAAGTAGAAGAAAAAGAAAGAAAAGTCTTCTATAACAATTTAAATCAATCGAACACTTGCATGTAACCAGAATGTACACAAACTTATCCGATGACCACCAGTTTGGATCGGAACAAGGTGATGATAACAAATCGCTAAACATGTCAAATGTATCGTCCTGTAGGGGAAAGATGGGCACGTCCACATCGAACCTGCAAAGCGGGCAGGAAGGACGCTGGAGCAGCCATGAAACATATGCTTACATGGCATCTCCTTGGCTTCAACGCCCACCTTCAAGTTTTCCAAGCAGATACAACACTCCTTCACTTCCTCCGTCACTTTCAGCGTCAGAATGGCGTCGATGGCAGCCTTGGACATCGCCGGAAGCAGCCTGTACGGGTCGTAAAATAGAGAGTGGAGGAGCGCATGTTAGTACCGAAGTATTCTTCTAGCAACATACCCAATTCCGGAATAGTCATATCCACAGATTGCTTACTGAGAGTCGGAGAGTCTGAGACACAGCGAAGGATATTTTAGGTTATGTATGTATATGCATGCAGCTGCACGTATAAAACCTGGTTTGTGAAGACAATCCCACATCTCGTCTAGGAAACCCTATACACACAAATAAGGAGATGTTTGCAACCAATTACAGAAAACCCGAATGGATTGGGAAAACATAAAGGCTTTGAAAGAAAACGCAAACAGGCACCAGAAAGAAAACGGAAAGTCACTTTTTTCCTTTTGGAAATTTAACTTCTCATTTATCTTCTTAAGTTTTCTCGATGAATTAGGATTTTTATTTTCCTTTTCTGGGTGATATGTTTTCCTCTTAGGTAGGATTCTAATCTTACTAATTTAACATTTAATCTAATAAATTTTATAGTTTGACAAAAAATAAAAATAAAAAAAAATTTACAAAGTCTAGAGAAAATTAGGCCCAGAAACGAAAACAACAACCTAATTGAAGGCCCAGTCACGTCATGTGAGCTCCAATAAAGCCCAAAACTTGGGAAAACCCACAGCCGGCGGCCAAATACCTCTCTCGCTGTTTTTGCCTCTCCACATCCTCCTCCTTCGGGTCTCTGCAAAACCAGCTCCAGACTTCGATCCTACAGAACCCCAAAGGGCTTCACCATCTCCTGCTGTCTCTCTCAACCTGCAAATAAAAAATGGTAACTTTCAATTTCTATGCTAATTTACACCAACTTTTTCAATTTTTTTCTCCTAATTTTTCCCTCAACCCTTAATTTGAACTGGGTTTCGTGTGTGTGCAGTTGTTCTTCTCGTATTTCAAGGAGTTGGTGGGGAGAGAAGTGACGGTGGAGCTGAAGAATGACCTTGCAATCAGAGGAACACTGCACTCGGTGGATCAATATCTCAACATTAAGCTCGAGAATACTAGGGTTGTCGACCAGGACAAGTACCCTCACATGGTAACCATTGCTGTCTTTGTCTTTTTTCTTATTAACGTTTGACTATTCTATGTACTTGTCTGTGCCTGTTGGTTGTTTACTTGATTTCTAGGGTTTGGTGTTGGAAGGGGTAATCCTACTGCTCGAGTTTGTGATGAGAAGTTAGGGTTTAGGGTTTCAAATGGGTTGTTTTGATATTGAAAATTTTCCCCTTTTTAAGTTTTTGGAACTAGTAATAATTTATGCGGGTTTTAGCAGAAGAACAATGCTAGTGATAGGCCATCGATGCTTTAGTATGTCCAGACTCCTGAGTGATTTTTTGCAGATTAAGTATTGATGGAGGATTTTTGCTCATTGGTGTAATTGTATACTGGAAAGTTTATCATGTGATAAAAAAGACTGAATTATGATGATTAGTCGAACGGACGATTCAAATCATCCATTCTTAGAATATTTGAATTGAGTGTGGAGTACAGTCGTTCTTAAGACTATTTGAAGGGAAAGTTATGTAAGACCACTGTAATGTATAGAACACTGTCCTATAAGCTATATAAGAAATAAATGTAGCTGGATGCAGACTTTAAGATGATGGGCATGTGGAAATGTTACCAAGCATAAAATTTGGGGATAGCACCTGCGAAAGATAAAGTGAGAGAGTAATCTGAGATGGTTTCGTTGTCTCAATTGAATATTCACTTCATCGTTTTAGGTAACTTAATTGTGACAAAACGATTTATAGTTGAGGTGTTGTACTCTAGTTTCATGGTTTATGAGTGATTTTGTGTCTATTACTCCTCCAGTGTTTGTATTGAATTTATGCAGTCCATGTACTTATTATCGATTTGGGTTTGATATGGAAGTGAGTTTATTATGCTTATGGTTCTTGTGACATGAATGCTCACAATGAAACTTGTAAACGTGGAGTTTGGGGATTATCTTCGATCTTCCATGGTGTGCTGGGTACCTTATTGCTATAAAACTGTCCCTGTGATTAGATCGGTGAGCACTCTGAGATTTTACTGATGGTAAGATCTCCCATGCCAAGTGTTTGTGCCAATCGTTTATGACGGAGCTTGGCTTTTCACTGTTAGCTTGTGGGGAGTTGATCATTGCAAAGGCATTTTATGATTTTAATTTCAGGGATCAAATTTTCTTTTTGGGGCTGTGGGTAAAATTTTTCAGAGCATAGGTCATTGGTCTCTTGACTCTGACTCTGATTTGCTTGGTTTTGTTGGACCTTTTGGATCTTCCCGTACTCTTGTGTTTGTTTTGTTTGTTCTAGTTGTTGTCTATCTTTTATGCTGATTTTGTTTTCTGCCCCATGCTTAAAGAACATGTTATGTACACTGAAATTGAAAATTACTATTTAACAATATGTTACCCTCCCGGTTTGACAAGTGTATGATAATGTACTTTTGCAGATGTCAGTGAGGAACTGTTTTATTAGGGGATCAGTTGTGAGATACGTTCAACTACCCCCAGAGGGAGTCGATGTTGAACTGCTGCATGATGCCACCAGAAGGGAAGCTCGTGGCGGCTGAAGTTGATTCAGTTCAGACAACTGATTAAAGAAGGGCCTGGTGGAGCATTGACATGTTGCGTCATTTTTTTTCTCTACATGTCTAATCTTTTACCAGTGCCTTCTTTATGACAGGTTCAAGAAGGCGTCTCCTATTAGACCGTAGTTCCGCTATATGAAACATTTTGAACAAGTGCCAAGTAGTGTTTTCTTTCTCTCTTTTTTTATCATATACAGTGCATTTTAGTTGACATTGGGGACATCCAGAACCTTGGCATCACCAAGAGAGGATCATCTATGCAATGCGCGCCTCTTTATCCTATTGTATTTCAACATTTAGTTTCTCCGAGTTTGTAACTTGTGCGCGTTTATGAGTAATTTGGTTTGTATGTTTTCTACTTCTTCAACTCATTGGTGC